TACACAATGGAATCCTATGCTGCTGTGAAAAGGAAGGAACTTCTACCATTCGCAACAGTGTGGATGGAACTGGAGAGCATTATGCTAAGTGAAATAAGCCAGTCAATGAAGGAAAAATACCACATGATCTCACTTACTCATGGATAATTGAGACCATTATAAACTTTTAAACAATAATAGATACAGAGGCAGAGCGGCCTCAAACAGAGTGTCAAACTGCAGCGGGAAGGCCGGGGAGGGTTGGGGGGTGGGAGGTAGGGGGGTAAGAGATCAACCAAAGGACTTGTATGCATGCATATAAGCATAACCAATGGACATAAGACACTGGGGGATAGGGGAGGCTAGGGGACTGTCTTGGGCGGGGGGAAAAAATGGACACATATGTAATAAATACCCTTTGTAATAAAAAATAAAAATAAAAAAACAAAACAAAAAAAACCCACTATTTGTAGAATCCAGGTAGCTACTATGTGGGTTCCGCAGCATACATTCTTTTATTTTTTTCTGTATATTTAAAACTTTTCACAATAAAGTAGAAGGGGGAAAAAAAGTCCACTGTTTAAAAGGGGAAACTATTACCAGCAAATTGGTACACATTTTAACCTGGACCATAAAGAACAGGTCTTAAGGAAAATGTAAAGGCTCATTTGGGAAAGACAAGGAAATCTTGATTAGTTCATCTTCACCAGTCACCCACCGCAGGCTGGGCTCACCCCACATGGCCAGGTGCTGCCTGGATGCTGCCATGCCCCGAGCCTAGGGAGTCAGCTTGGGAACCTCAGAGTGAGCTGGTAGGTGTTTACTAATATGCTACTATTTAAAAAATATTGAATGCAATCTTTTGTTTCTCCATGAAAACTAAACACAATTTCAGCCAAGTGAAGGGGACACAATGTTATAACAAGGAAACCCATCACAAGGCGCCTCCCAGGGTGCCTTCCTGTGCCCCAGGTGATAGGCAAAGGTACTTTCATGGGCTGAGAGATGGTGTATCTTATCCACGGCAAACTGTCACCGAGAGAAAGAGGGCTTGGGTACACATATTAGTGTTTTCCAAAATCCTGTTTCATTTATTTAAATACACTTTAAAGACACAGACTTTGGAATGGTGGCTCCACACCCCAAGTCACTCTAGAGTGATTCTTCAGAGTTCTACTTTTGGAATCAAGCCACAACTCTTCTCAAGGGGTTATACAATTAAGCAATAGAGCATACATTGAGCATCTCTGAATGCCAAAAGAAAAACAAAAAAAAGGGATGCATGTGTGATAAAAGGGCAGAAGTAAGATTTTGAAGAACAGCAGAGGGGTTCCCCCCAAGTATATGTGTGAAATCATCTCTAACTACCAACACGTTGGCTTATCAGACCTCCTACTTTACTCTTGGCAAAGTCTGGGCAGTGAAGAACCCAGTCTGTAAAGCACCTCATCACCCACAGAGGCACAACTGCAAGCCCAACTGTGGGGAAACCCTTCAATATGACAGCTCCTTATGAAAAACTGAAACTTCTCACCTCTGAACGAAATAAAGAAACTCCAAGTAGGGATTTGGGGATAAGATGCCCTGTGTTATATAGAGGCAACCTAATAAATAGCCGATTGTAAAGGAAGTGAAGAACCCTGACAGGATGTCACACATACTTCACGAACTGGAAGAGCAAAGGCTGGGTCGAGAGGAGGCTCTGGGGAGCAGGCCTTGAACTCCTGTCACTGTGCTCTCACAGCGTTCAGCAGCAGCAGAGGCCAGTGCCCGGCACCACAGCCAGCACCGTCACACAGCCACCGAGGGCCTGGGCTGCGGGCGGGAAGAGCCTCTCAGCAGCAGCCGGATGTGCTAGAAGGCTGGGCCAAAGGAAGAGCTGGGCCTGGCCAGCTTTCAGAGAAGGTTCCCACTAAAACTCCCTTGGCATCCCAGTCACTGGATCACCAGAGCAGAGAGCTGATGCTGCATCAACCTGCCTTCAGCAAAGGTGCTTGCAGGCTCCTAGAGCATCTCAGCCAGGCCCTGTGCTCTGAGCTGGGAGACACCCTGAATAGCCAGACCCAATCCCTGGCCGTTCAGAGTCCTTGTGCTTGCAGGGATCCAGCCAAGTGAACAGAGATGGTGAAACACAGAGGAGCCACACCACATAGTGTGAGGAAGTTGAAGACAATGAAAATAAGGCTAGCAGGCACAGAGCAGGCACTCAATACACGTTTGGCATCTGCAGAGGACATCTTGGGCAGCTACATCAGTTCCAACGCTTCACCCACAATACACAGAGAACCTGCTTTCCACTCATCCATGCTAGACATTAGAGCATCATCTCTGACACACCTCTCTCCTGCTATAAAACTGTTACCTAGTCCTATCACCTGGCAACCACCACCCCCTTCATATCCAGCTCTCATTCCTCTAGCCCACAGCTCTGGATCATGCTCTCACCACTGTACACCCAGGTGGTCACAATGCTCTCCTAAAGGCTTCCAGTCCCTGGGTATTCCCAATCTGAATGAATTCACCTTGCTTTAAATCCAGACCAAATATTTACCAGAATACTTGAGCACAAATTGCTACTATAGTTAAGAAAAAAAAACAATGAAACTATTTCCATGAAAAAAAATAATAAAAATAACAAAAAAATAAACTAGGTCAAAGCATCACACCCTTATTTTCAAAATACTTCAGAGCTCCTGCTGGCCACAGAATCAAGTGTGCGCACCTCACATGGTGAGGCTGCAGCCTTTTAGTTGCCCCCAGTCCACTAACCACCCCACTCACAGCCTTCACTCTAGTATTTGCTTCACCCTGTCTTATTCTGGAATTTTAAACTATAAACTCCCAGAAAGCCTTCTGCATTTCTGTATTCCCCACACAACTTAGAATCACTTTTCTAGCTCAGAATGTACTCAACACATATTTGTTAAACAGAAGAACAAATGCATTTTATATTTGGCTGAGGTTTAATAGCTAAACTATGAAAGAAGACAAAATATAGCTGGAAAAAATAGACTGGCATTCCAGACAATCAATGTAAATAAATAAGCTTCAAAACTAAAATTTAAAGAAGTTGTTTACATTTGAATAAGCGTTAACTGTCTGTAGATATATTTCAAGTTTGAAGCTGAAATACGTGGTGGCCAACTACCACTGGTCATTTCTCTATCGGTTCAAAATGGCACTTGAGCACAAACACTGCATTCCCTGCCACATCAATTGTCCTCAAAAGAAGAAAAATGCACGAGAATAAATTAATCCCCAATTGTTTTTAAAAGGTCCCAAGTAGTACCTCTCCCAAATCCTTACTCCTGCTGCCTCTCGGATTAGGGCGGCCCCTCCTATCCTTCAGTAGGCATCTAGCCTCATTTGCTGGGGAGCACGTTACCTTGGCATCAGCGATGTCCACAAAGTTGTACTTGTCCGTGAGCTGGAGATGGTGAGTGTTGAGAGGAGGGCCCAGAGCTTCCAGGGCCTCAGGGTGGCCATGCAGCTGCTCCAGTGCCAACTGGTAATAGGAAGCCCTGGAAAAAGCTTCTAAATGGAAAAGAGTTGTTACATTTTTGTCGTCTTTATTGAACTTTATTGAACTTGGCAGACTCTGTAGAAAGTTAAATGATACAATTTATGTACAACATGGAAACAGATACAATTATGAAATTTATAGATGGAAGAATTAGGGAAAATCTATTCTAAATTGTCCATTTTAGAGACTCCAAAATCAAAATCAGGATCTGTGGGGATGTGGCAGACGATGCTGGGCCAAGTACTTAACCTTTCTGTGCCTCACTTTCTTCATCTCTCATTTCCTGACCTCATTTACTACCTCATTTCTTCATCTAGCAGCGGTTCTCAACCTGTGGGTCGCGAACAATGAAAATACATCCTGCATATCAGATATTTACATTACGATTCATAACAATAACAAAATTACAGTTATGAAGTAGCAACAAAAATAATTTTATGGTTGGGGGTCACAACATGAGGAACTGTATTAAAGGGTCGCGGCATTAGGAAGGTTGAGAAGCACTGAAAGGGTTTGATCAGATCTTCTCTCAAGCTCCTTTTGGTCCTAGAACCATTAATTTCTCAAAGAGACACAGCTGGTTCAAGTTAGAGCTGGGGCCAGAATCTATGACTGAACTTCCACTAAGATGAAGGTCAAGATAAACCAGCATAAACTAGATCATAACATCATTAACAACAAAACCCTCAGGCCAAGATTATAGAACATTAAAATGCTATTTTTTCAAGTTTACAGATTTATGCTGACATTTCATGTAGGTAAGTTATAACCTGCTCTGTCTCAGGTACCCTTCTTGGCCCTAAGTTTTTGAGGAACTCCAGGAAGCACCTCCCTACAATTGCATGGTACTAGGGAGAGAGCCTCTTGGTCAACTGAAAGAATGGTGGGGAGGACACTGTGCTTTGTTCGGCTATCTGTTGGTGATTCTAACATCCAGGCAAAAAGCAAAAATGCTGTAGAGTGAGGGTGAAGAGCCAAGCTGAGAGGGCATGGAGGAGCTTCAAAGAAAATCATTCTCAAAAGAAAAAAAGCTGCTGCTTCACAACCAGTAGCAATTAAATGACCTTAAATGTCTTGGTCACGGTAACTATGGCTTGTCTTTACAAATCACACTTGAATGCAGTGGAGCTGGAAGCCACACCTGTCAAGATTTTGCCATCCTGGACTCTACTTTTACTTCCTGCTCTCACCTGAGTCCCTGCTCAAGGTCCCTCCTCCACTGAACCAACATCAAAGAATGGCAGGACCAACAGGCTGAGCACACTGGGGAAATAGAGCCCGTTTTACCCACCTGTGAACCATCCGGTATCTCTCTGTTCTTTACATAATCTCAACCATCTTGGACCTCCTGTGTACGCTCTGGAGTGAACACCCATCTTGCTTTTTGCAAGGCTTCTTATGCAGAGAAATCGGGGTGCTTTCATTAGTATAGGTAGTTAGATATCAATAAAGGAAGGGAGCAAAGGGAACCAGACATTAAGAAGCCTAGCAAACTGGGAAGCTGAATCCTATATTGAGCCTGCTTAACTGGAAAGCTATAGCCCCTATTCGCCAGGGCCCCACCACCCTGGCTTTGTCCGGAAGAACATCTGGAATGATGTCTAGAAGATGGCCAGTCTAATTAGCATGTTACCCTTTTATTAGTATAGATATGCCTGCGGGATTGGGCCTAAACCAGCAGTCGGACATCCCTCTCGCAATCTGGAATTGCTGGCTCCTAACTGCTAACCTGCCTACCTGCCTGCCTGATTGCCCCTAACTGCCCTCCCCTGCCGGCCTGGTCACCCCTAACTGCTCTTCCCTGCCAGTCTGTTCACCCCTATCCACCTCTGCCTCGGGCCTGCCACCCTAGCTTTATCCGGAAGGACTTCCGGAAGATGTCTGGTCTAATTAGCATATTACCCTTTTATTAGTATAGATTTTGTCAAATATGAGTAATGCTACCCCAGCTTTTTTTTTTTCCATTTGCCTGAAAAAATGTTGCATCCCTTCACTCTCATCCTGTGTGTCATTTGTTCTGAGGTGGGTCTCTTGTAGACAGCATATAATTGGGTCATGTTTGTATATCCATTCAGCTAACCTACTAGTATATCTTTTGATTGGACATTTACACTTAAAGTTATTATTGATAGGTAATTATTTATTGCCATTTTAATTCTTTATGCCTATGTTTCTCTCCCTATATATTTTTTCTCATTACAGCAGTCCCTTTAGCATTTCTTGCAGTGCTGGTTTTGGTGGTGATAAACTCCTTTAGCTTTTTTTTTTCTGGGAAGCTTTTTATATTACCATCTATTTTGAATGATGGCCTTGCTGGATATAAAAATCTTGGTTTCAGATCCTTGGTTTTTATTACTTTGAATAGTTCATGCCATTCCCTACTGGCCTATAGTTTCTGATGAGAAATCAGGTATCTGTCTTAGTGGAGCTCCTTTGTAAGTAACAAATTGCTTTTCTCTTTCTGCCTTTAGAATTTTCTCTTTGTCTTTAATTTTTGGAATTTTCATTATGATGTGTCTGGGCATGGGCCTCTTTGGGTCCTTCTTGCTTGGGACTCTGCCTCCTGGATTTGTGTGACTTTTTTCTTCACCATGTTAGGGAAGTTTTCTGCCATTATTTCTTCAAATGAGTTCTCTACCTCTTGCTCACTTTCTTCTTCTGATACTCCTACTATGTGAATTTGTTATGTTTCATGATATCCCAGCTCCCTTAAGCTGTCCACCTGTTTTTTCCTTGGTTTTTCTTTTTGGTTCTCTGATTGATTTTTTTCTCCCATGTTCTCATTCACTGATCCAATCATAGGCTTCCCCTAACCCACTGCTTATTCCTTCCACTATGTGCTTTCTTAGTGCTATGTCATTCTTCATAATTACTATATATTTTTTATCATACTGTTGAGCATCTTTGCCATCATTATTCTGAACTCTATGTCTGATAAATTTCTTATCTCCATTTCATTTACCTCTTCTTCTGGAGATTCTCTTGTTATTTCATTTGGGCCTTGTATTTTTGTCTCCCCATTTTGACTGCCTGTTTGGGTTTGTGTCTCTGTATTAGTGATCTGGTATGAGTCCCAATCGCTAGTGCAGGACAATGTCAGATGCTGTTACTGTACCTGAGTATTCTGTTTGGAGCTATCAGCAATCAACAGCTGGTGGCTACCTCTATTGGGCTGGATGCCTTTGGAAAGGACGAAGATGTGCACCAGGGTCTGCTTTTCCTAGCCCTGGATTAGAACAGGCAAAGACCCAAAGCCTGCAGAGACCCACCACTGCCTGCAGTCCCAATGACACTCAGTTTTGATTAGCCTCAGGCTATATACTACAGGGTAGGGCAATAGGTCTTCCAATAGGGTGGGATAACTGCTGCCTTCCTCCAAGGCAAAAACTTCCTGAATAGCAAAGGTTAACTGGAGAAAGATTCCTCTCCAGTGTGAGGGAATGTCTGACCAAAGAAGACCAGGGTGGCTACACTCCAAGCTCCAACCCCAGAGGCCCCAAACCTGGCTTCTGCTCACACAGCTTCAGTCCACTCTGCCCTCCCTCTGCCAGAGCTCAAGTTGAGTGGCTACACATGAAATTTTGTGGGTTGGCACTTTAAGAGGTACCTGCATTTCCAGTCTTCTCTCCCTGGCAGAAATAAGCCCTGCTTCTTTTCATAACCAGATGTTATGTGCACACCTTTCTCAGTTCTGATGCGCTGGTTCGGGAGCCCAACTGGTTTAGACCCCAGAATTCTCAGTGGGAACCCTCTACAGCTGAGATATCCATCAGGAACTTCAGCTGCTGTCTGTGGGAGCCTGGCCAGCCCTTTCCTGCCTCCACACTTCCTACCAGTCTCTATGCAGTCTCCACTTTCCATCCTTAGTTGTCAGGGTTCTCTCCAGTTAGTCTTCATTGACTTTTCAGAGTGGTTTTTCTATACTTTAGTTGTATTTCCAGTTTGTTCCTGGCAGAGTATCAGTGTAGCTTCCACTTACTCCATCGCCATTTTGGAATCTCTTTTTTTTTTAAATTCTCACCCAAGGACACGTTTGTTGATTGTGGAGAGAGGAAGGGAGAGAGAGAAACATTGATTGCATGCCTCCCATATGTGCTCCAACTGGAAATCAAACTTGAAACCTATGCCTTTACCAGGAATCAAACCTGTAACTCTTTGCATATGAGATAACATTCCAACCAACTGAGCTATCTGGCCAGGACTAGAAATCTTTTCTGCTGGCAGTCTTACAGACTCAGAAATTGACTTATGATTAGCAGTGTTCATTAACCACTATATTTTTTTCCTTCTGTTTTCATAGCTTATGTGTCTATGACATTACTTACCAAATGGTTTGTTTACACAGTATGGGTCTCACTTTGAAAGCCCATCTCATCACCACATCTGAAAATGAGACTCAGGTTTGGCTGGGTTGACTTATTGTCAGGACTAAATTGTTGTGTCAGTGAAGAATAAAGCGGTCTATCAGATTCACTTGAAACTGCTTTCCCTTTTCTGCCCAAGTTGTACAGACAGGAAAGGCTGCTTCAAAAGGGAAATCTTAGAATGTTCCCTTTAGCCTAATTTCAATTTAAGTATGATAAACTGCTGGGGTACACCCCCAGCAGGTCCAAGGGTCCCCAAAGGTGTGGACGGAGTCGGCGAAGAAGGAATGACATGGAGACAGCGTTCAGTTGATCAGCAGCCTTGCCAGGATCTCTAGCCACAATCTCCAGCCAAGTTCTGTGTCCATGTTCTCTTGCTAGGTTCTCCAGCCAGGTTCTCCAGGTTCTCCAGCCAGGTTCTGTAGCCATGTTCTCTCACTAGGTTCTCCAGCCAGGTTCGTTCTGCTGGGGAAGGGGTTAAGAGGTTTTATTCCCTCCCTAACTTCAGGGGAAAATCCCTACCTGGGGAAACAACCTTTCTCGGAGAGGTGACCTTGGTTAAATCACATAGTGCCAAGAAGGTGAGCAAACATATTAAGAACAGTATGCCATATATGCCAGGTCCCTTGAAACAGCAAGGATGGACTGGCTCCCGGCAATAAACAAGAGAGATTCAAACATGAGTCACACCTTTCTCCAGGGAAGCTCCTTCTCCAATTTAATCTGGAACACTCCTTCTATCATCTGGTTCTTACCACCCACCACCCCTTTAGTTGCTATATTTCTCCTCATTTTTGAACTAAGCCTTTTTAACCTTTTTGTCAAATTTGTCACCTCTAGAATAGAATGCCAGCCTGTCCAACAACACCATCCTTTAGATATAACATGTGCCGCCTCCCAAGGACAGCAACAGCCTACCCTGAACTTTATAATAACCCCTTTTCACTGTGTGAGGTCTCCCCATTTGCTCCTTTCTCTGGCAGATAGGAAGAATCTCTGGGTCTGTGGACTGGCAGCACTATGTTCTCTGACAACAAGAAGACGTTATAAAGATGAGATCTCCATCCATTTACTACCCTTATAAAGTTACAAGGCCCAAGGTTCTTCGGGGGGGATATGTTAGTGTAGGTAGCAAGATATTAATAAAGGAAGAGAACAAAGGGAATTAGACATTATGAAGCCTAATAAACTGGTAAGTTGAATCCAATGTTGGATTTCTGCTTCACTAGAAAGCTATAGCTTCACACATTCCCCAGGGAATAATCGATCCATTCCCTCTGGATTACTAGAGGTGGGACAGAACAATAAAGAAGAAATTCCTCTGCTGGACACATGCCTAGTAGAAGCCAAGACTGTACAGGGGGAGGTGATTCTACTATGAGGCATGCACGGAAGGACTAAGATGGAAACCATAAAGACCTGTCTTTCTAGCCTGGAAAGAGGATCAGATTGGATAAGGGACACAGCCCCTACAAAAAAAATCTAGAAAATGGATTGGTTAGGGGGATGAAACCAGCAGAAGCAAAAGATTGGGAAAGTTCATTGGTTATTTTTTTATATATATATTTTATTGATTTTTTACAGAGAGGAAGGGAGAGGGATAGAGAGTTAGGAACATCGATGAGAGAGAAACATCGATCAGCTGCCTCCTGAACACTCCCCACTGGGGATGTGCCTGCAACCAAGGTACATGCCCTTGACCGGAATTGAACCTGGGACCCTTGAGTCCACAGGCCAACACTCTATCCACTGAGCCAAACCAGTTAGGGCTCATTGGTTATTTTAAAAAGGTTTCTTGTCCTTCCCAAGCCTGAGATAATATAACCCAAGCTTATTTAACAAATCTCTTACGCTCTCTCTCTTACTTGGCAACACACACCCCATTTATTTGGCGTTCTCCCTCCACAGCAGCCATGCAGCCAGCAGTTGTGCAGACTCCAACCACTGGCATCATCAGCCAGAGAGCATCTGAGAACAACCTACGCTAGCTGGATGAGGACAGATATGGCCGAAACTGGACTAAGCTTCGACATGGGACAGAACTTTTGGATACGGGACTTTGTACTGGGGTTAATGAAGACAAGACTAAACATTTTCATGGAGATGGACAGAGATGAGACACTGGGAACCTGAGGGTTGCCTTGTATTTCTACCCAAATAAATCTTTTTTTTTTTTAATATATTTTATTGAGTTTTTACAGAGAGGAAAGGAGAGAGATAGAGAGCTAGAAACATCGATGAGAGAGAAACATCGACCAGCTGCCTCCTGCACACTCCCCACTGGGGATGTGCCCGCAACCAAAGTACATGCCCTTGACCAGAATCGAACCTGGGACCTCTCAGTCTGCAGGCCGACGCTCTATCCACTGAGCCAAACCGGTTTCGGCTACCCAAATAAATCTTACCACCAGGCCTCACACTGGGAACCTGAGGGTTGCCTTGTATTTCTACCCAAATAAATCTTTTTTTTTTTTAATATATTTTATTGAGTTTTTACAGAGAGGAAAGGAGAGAGATAGAGAGCTAGAAACATCGATGAGAGAGAAACATCGACCAGCTGCCTCCTGCACACTCCCCACTGGGGATGTGCCCGCAACCAAAGTACATGCCCTTGACCAGAATCGAACCTGGGACCTCTCAGTCTGCAGGCCGACGCTCTATCCACTGAGCCAAACCGGTTTCGGCTACCCAAATAAATCTTACCACCAGGCCTCATCCTCCTACATGGGTTCATGGAAATGCTATTCTCGTGCAAGGACCCATTTCCACCAGCAACACTTTTATTTGCACTTGTGGCTCCTAAAAAACTGGGATTATAAGATAAGAAGTAGGCCACAGGAATGGAATGGTGTACTGGTTTCTAAAAACAGTTCTAATCTGCAGAGAGCTTGTGAAGTATTTCCTATGATTGAGGAACAGGGGAAGAGAACTAGGAAGAGGCCATGCCTCAGGCAGTTTGCTGGATACTTACTTTGTGTAAGGTAATACACAAGGGCACAGCCCCCACTAGTCATCACACTGGTATAAAGGATCACTTTTCCCAGAGGCACTTGCGGCATCCTGCTTCCTAGAGCCTAAAAAAAAAAAAAGATTAAAATTTATTGTTACACTCAGGTTTGCGTGAAGGGCTTTGTTGGTCTAGATTAGGCCCAAAAGGAAAGAAAAGCAAGGAGGAAGCCTACAAGGAGGAAAGGCCATCTTTCCTCCTTTGCTTCCTGTCAGAATGCCAGGGCTGGTTCTGGAGCCAAAGCAAGTGTCTTTCTGAGGGTGGCCCCAATCCAGGACCCATGCTATGGAGGTAGTGGCTGAGCTCAGAGCAAGCATTAGCCCTGCTGTCTTGACAGACAGAACCCCAACTTGTGTGACAAATGCTGCCTGGCCAAAAATCACAGCTACTTTGAGTCATGCTGGCTCCTTTTGTGGCAATAGCTGATCGTGTAAGCCGTTGAATGGGTAGCCACTGACTGCTTTTCTTTCACATCTGGAAAAATGTCCTACCCTGGGGATGAGGAAACTGTGGTCATGACTTTCAAGCTGAATGAAGAGACAGAGAAGAGCCAACTCAGCCCATTCCGAGTACCACAGCCAACCCTTGCATAACTCCTGTCCCCTGAAGGTCTGGGTCGGCTAAGAGCAACATGTAGGCCCGATGTGGCCAAACCTCCTCCTTCTCGGAGACCATTCAACCAGACTCAAAGCTGTAAAAGACTCAGCCATAAAACAGAGCAGTATATGGGTTTACATCAGGGCTTATCATTCAAAAGCCCGAAGGGCTAGAAAAAGTCACACAACTGAGAGCAGACACATGGGCCACGTCTGAATGACTCTTCCAATTTCTTCAAATGGTTTTTCCTGTGAAATTGCCTAAATTCTAAAATTTTATAACCAATTAAAAAAAAATTAACAAAATACATCTGTGATTCAGATTCTTTCTGTGGGCTTCTAGTTTGCTGTGACTGCCCAAGCAGCATGTGGACACCCTTACTCTAGGTGAGAAAAATTCATCTTTGTCTGTCTTGGCTGACATTTCTTAAAAGAGAGAGAGAGAGAGAGAGAGAGAGAGAGAGAGAGATTGACTTGAGCTGACATGGAAATTCCAAGTTTAGGGAAAGGAAAAAATGACCATAAGTATTTATGTCCTGAACACTTAACCTTAGATTTTATGAGCTTCTTTAGAAAACAAAGCCTTTATGTGGCCTAATGGAGTAGGAGGCATTACAGTGTACAAGTGGGTATAATGCTGAATCTGTGAGTTAAGGTAAACACATTTTTACTGTCTGCTTCTCTGACTTCTAGAATATGGAGAGTAATAACAACTGTCTACCTATTATTTCCAGAAATGTGACAGTAAATGAATGCATAAGAAGGCCTGTTGGAAAAGAATATCCTCATGTGAATATTCTTTCTGGAAACCAACAATTAAACAGATCCTTAAGTAGTCTTAAAATTGACTAGTTTCATACAGAAATAACCTTGAATCCAGGTTTATGTATATAAAGAATTCTGATCAACTTATAAAATTAGGCAAGGTAAAGTTTTTGCCTATCCATGTATTATATAGTTTTGTTTAACTAAAAAAAGGCAGCTAAAACTCAAATAAATGTACAAAAACTGCTGTAAGAGTTTCAGCTGGTGCAATATAGCATGCAAGAATATTTATCAAAGTTTAATGTAAAGTCAATTAAAGTAATGTAATCTGGAAATAAACATTTAGTCTAATAATGAAAATGTCCAGAACATCTCCAAAGAATGCATTAGGCAGACCTTGCCTAATTTGAAAGCGCCCTCAACAGAGGACGACAATGAGCAAGAGCTCTGCAGAGTTCCTCGTCCCCTTTCTCTTCTACCCTTAAGGAAGAAAATCCAAAGCCAGCAACCAGGAGACTGATGTGGGCAGGGGAGGGCGCACTGCAGCGGCAGTGGGCGTGTGACCTCAGTGCACACAATCATGGGCCTGTGAGCAGCCCACCGAAACAAGATGCTATCAATAAAAGCTGTACACCATGGATTAAAAACAGCTTTTCAGGATTAAGTAGAAATAAATATATACATAGCCTTTAATAATATTGATAATAATAGTGAATATTTGTATCTCTTACTTAGGTGCCTGGTATTATTGTAAGCCCTGTACATATAATACTTCATTTAATTCTCATAACAATCCCACGAATTAGGAACCACTGTTATCAACTCCAGAGAGGTTAAGTAACATACCTCACGTCACACAAATAGCGTGTAAGTGGTAGAACTGGGATTCAGACCCAGGTGGTCTATCTCCAGGGACTGTGCTTTCAACCATGATATACTGACTTTAAGATACCCACTGATTTCAGAAATACTGAAATGTCAAAAAAAATCATGTGTCTCTGAATTACAATATATTCGCGCAAAAGCCTGTCAGGTATGCCCTCCCTGCTATTTTTCCGTACAAGAATGTGGCATGTATATGTACCTTTATTCTTTCTTTTGCTTTTAGTTGTTCCAGGCTTTCAAACAGTGATGAGGGGAATCCAGATAATTCACTATAATTACAACACAAATAGGACCACGAGATACAACTGTGCAACTGGGCATGTCACAACCCTACCAGGGTGCCACCCACAGGGTAAACAAGTTAGACTCATATACAAATGGGGCAAAAAGTAGGTTTACAGTCATGAGTAGGGAAAACAGAGTTTACGCTTGTATTATTATTTATTAATGTCTTATTTTCCATATGAACAACTGTAAGCCTACTTTTGCCCCACCCTGTATTTATTAAGATGATTTTTTAACAATTGGAAGTTCTCTGAAGTACCTTGAAGAAGGGGTGGGTGAGTGCCTTTTTCTAATTTGCACAAAGGTGCCTAGAGGCAAGCAGAAGCCTGGTTAGTGTGACCAGAGGGTGTACCAGGAGAGGAAGCAACACCAAGGACGTGGTCAGCCCTGTCTGGAGATCAGCAAAGGAAACTGACTCCGAGTAAGAGGAAGATGAAGGAGTGGGAGAAGGGCTTCAGATCCGTAAAAACAGCAAGCAAAGGCCGCGCGGCAGAAATAAGAGCTGCAGCACTGTGGAGAGCTGGTGAGGAGCCACAGGAAGTGGGCCTGCAAATGGAGGCGTCACTGCCATGAATGGCTGTCTACCCTGCTGGACTCCACTGTGTATTATTTTGTATTGCATTACTCCTGGCATTGGGCTCTGTCTTACCAGCTGAGTCTATCAAAGTGAATTACTTGCTCTACACGACCCCGCCAAATTGCCAAAACCATGGTTCATCTTAATATGCTAGAAGCAGGCACACAGGCAGTTGAAGTGAAGAGTTACCATTGTTAGCTAATTACTAAAAGAAACAGAGCAAAGGGAGGGTCAAACATTGTTACCCACACTCAGCTGGGAAGCAGAGGCCTGTTTGCTTCACCCGGAAGCTACAGCTTCACACCCCAAGAAACTGTGGGTTACTTTACGATCGTATTTAATTGCCATTGTGACTTCTGTGGGAGCAATACCTTTTGCTGCTGCTTCAGATTGCGCTTCCTTTTCTACCTCATGTAGCATCTTGTACGATTTTGTTAATTCATTTATGTCATGCATGAGGTTGTTGATGTTAATCATGAGTCTTTCTGAGCAGCCCTGGTTTTCTGGCATTGTTAATCTTTTACTTGTAGCTTCGGCTGTATCCAAAATATAGAGTTGAGCAAACTTTCGAGAAACATCATCCGAAGGATGTAACGTTCCAGTACGGTGATAAACTTGTCGTGTATTCTAAAACCGTATAGCCCATATCCTGGTGGCAATGCAATATCTGCACCCATAGAAGCAAAAGCAAAAGAACTATTTATAGAAGGAATATTTTCCATGAAATTTTTACTGTCAGAATCTTCATTTATCATTATTTTTTAAAAAATATACTGGGTATTCTGGAAAATTTTTATCGTTTGGATGAACTTTGCCTTTGCTACAACGAGTAAATTTTCCATCAGATGGTTTTTCTTTGGAGAAATTTAAGGATAGGCAAAATTGACATGTAACTGTCATTCCACCACAGCAAAATTGCATCCTCATTTACCTCATTTTCACTATGAAGGCAGTTCCAACCAGTATTGGTAGTACTTGTTGATGACTGTTTTTCAGACATATTCTATCAACGATGTTGCTTTCTTTTGACTTCAGAGGTACATTGTGGCAGTAGTTGGTCTTCAGACATATTTTGTTGACAATTTCGGCTTCAGAATGTCAACAAAAACATGACATGATTACCTGGCACCCACAGCCACTGTTTGCGGGCTGGGCTATGGGCTGCATTTTGACCCA